GACCAAGGAACTTCCTTAGTCCCTTGACATCGACTGGCACTGGCCAGTCGGTGATCGCCTTGATCTTTTCGGGATCAGGGCGTACGCCGTGTTTACCCACGATGCACCCAAGAAGTGGTATTTCGCTAGCCGCGAATATACACTTCTTGAGGTTGGCGTACAACTTATGCTTGCGCATAAGTTGAAGAACCTGACGGACGTGAGTTCTGTGAACTTCAACGTCCGTCTTTCCGTCCATAGCCCGGCTATGGACGAACACATCGTCGAAGTAACTCGGTGCGAAGTCTCGCACCGGTCTCAACAGATTTGTGACACATCTGTTGAATGTTGCAGGGGCATTGCTCAGCCCCTGTGGCATAACTAGCCACTCCCACAGCATCCCGCTGGGGGTACTCACTGCCGTGAACGGGATGTCCCGTTCACGCATGAGGATCTGATAGAATCCATCCATCAGATCCATGGACGAAAAGATGGTACTCTTTGACATACCATCTATGATTACGTCCTTCCTCGGTATCGGCGTCTGAGCCGGTACCGTTGCAGCATTCAATTTGTTGAATGCGTGCACTATCCGCCATCCTCCTGTGGCCTTTCGCACACAGAAGGTCGGAGAGCTGTGAGGGGATGTTGATTCCCTCACATGGCCCGCTGCTAAGCGATCGGCAAAGAACTTGTCGATCGCTAGTACTTGTTCACGAGGCAGTGGCCACTGCTTCATGACACAGTACTTCGAGCCCGGTTTGAGCTCGATCTCGTGTCGAGTGCCTTTGTCCTTAGGCAACTCGCAAGGTACGGATTCAGGGAACACATCCCTGAATTCGATCAAATCCTTGTACAAAGGATTTGCCTGAAGTGACTCCCAGGATTGAGACGTGTATCGCTCAATCCGAGTCTTCTCATCGAGGACACTTTCGTCCATCGATGAGCTGCTGAGAACCCGTTCGTTCTCAGCAAATACTGTTGCCGACCGAATATCGGCCACATACTCATCCTCTGTGACGAGTATGCAGATCTGCTTGACTTTGCCACTACGCAGATCACGCAAGAACCGTTTCGGTTCTAGCGTTGGCAACTGAGTTATCTCCGAAGTTAACTTCGGAGGCACAATCAGATCAAGCGTATAAGCGCCTACGCTTGATCCGTCATTAACCAAGACGTTCAACGTCTCGGTTACTTCCTGGGAACTTCTTTCCACAGGTTGCTGAAGGCCTAATCCTTCAGCAAGTGACTCTTGAGGAATTCCTTCCTCAAGTACGTGGGGACTTATTCCCTCGACGTCTTCTGACTGTGGCTGTGCAACCACAGTCAGGGACCGATCCTCTACGGTCGACTCTCCAGTCGACCTAGGATTTCCATGTTGCCCTTTGGAGGCAACAGGTTTCTTACTTCTAAGATGCTGCCCGCTAGGCATGCATCCATGTCCCGGTCCACTCGACTTATTCGAGTGGTGGACCTTCGGCGCAGCCTGTACTTCTGTACAGCCGCCGGGAGCTTGCTCCACAGTGTAGTGATCAACTACACTGTGATCTTGTGCAGTCGTGCTAACGACCGTACCGCAAGTGAGGCCATCGCACTCACTCGCAGAACATCCACACGCTTGTGGACGCTCCAAGATGTTCATCAGATGGCCATCTGATGAACAAGTGGCAGGCATCTTCACGGATCGATGCTGCCAGCTCACCCTTGGCTCGTACTTTCTGAGCCAAGGTAATCCCAGGATGACATCAAATTTGTCATCCAGATCTAGTACGATGAAGTCATCATCGTACTGTTCGCCCTCTAACGTGTAGTGGATTCCTACTACACGTTTCTCAACGGTAATCGATGCGCCTGTTGCAAGGCGCACCGTCATCCTCGTGAGGGGAATGTCGCGCTCAACGAACTTGAGCCTACGACCCTCTAGTGACTGGCGACGAACAAAGTTGTTCGACGCCCCACAGTCTACTAGGGCACGAAGCGACAAATCATTTGTCGCTTCCAACTTCAAGGTGATGAGCGAAACGTCATCACCAGGTGCAGAGACACACAATGATTGTGTATCTGGAGCAACTTTCGTCAAGAGATTTGCAAATTCTCTTGAGGTTGCTGGATCAGTAGGGCGCTCCGCCCCTACTGACCCCGACCATTTTTTGATGGTCCGTCTCGCTGTTGCGGCTTCGCAACAGCGCTGGACCCACGCCCATTGCCCTTTCTGGCAAATGGTCGTCCATTTCGCTCAGTACTGTTTGGTACTGGGCGTGGAGCACTACACTCGTATGCGTAGTGCCCTAACTTCTGACAGCGATTGCACCTCTGCAATCGCTTGTTGTTTGAAGAGCGAGGTCTCTCGCTCTCAACATAGCAGAGGTCCATTGGTTCTGGACCTCCGATCTCTTGTCGTCTCGGTGGACGGTAAGAGTTTGAGCTAGCATGAGCCTGTCTCATGCTAAAGTCTTCCTGTTCCGCGGCTGATATCGCTTCTTCAAGCGTATTCAGCTCAAGGCGGAACAGGTGGCTCCTGACGGGCCCTTCTGCGAGCCCTTGCATGAACACCGTAATCAACGTGTGTTCATGAACTGGGTTAGCAGTTATACTACTCGCAAGGAGTCGTATATGTTGTGCGTAAGCGTGCACATCACGCTTACCCTGCTTGAGTTTCAGGAGCTCAGAACGAGCCCTGAACTCAGCTCGTGGCGGCTCAAACGTTTGTCTGAGCCGGGACTTGAAGTCATCTAGCGACCTAAACACATTTGGGTCGCTACTCTCGAGTCCCAGGGACCAAGTTTTGGCACGCCCTGCCAAGTGGGTCTGAGCAAATGTGAGTTTCATTTGCTCATCTTCGACGCGACGAGCCCTTAAGGCTCTGTCGAGTTCGACAAACCATAGTAACAGGGAGTCCTCCGGGACTCCACTGTACTTGGAGATGTCAACCTTCATGACCTCGGGACGACGCGCATGTGCCGTCCCGCCCACAGCAGCATGGAATTGCTGCTGTCTCAACAGCTCTGTCTGTTGAGCACCGAGTTCTCTCAACTGCTCGGCCTGTTGAGAGCCTTGCTGGTGAAGCAAGGCTACTTTCTCCCTTTCGGCGACAAGTTCACTTTGGATGAACTTGGCTATAGCGGCATGTTGTTGGTCTCTGTCTAGAGACTCCAACATGGCGCTAATGGCGAACTCGCCTACGGTAGAACTCATTCGTTCTACCGCACCCCATTCGATGTCACTCAAATGGGTAAACCCTTCACGCGTGGCGTGAAAGGTCTCTTCATCATCCAACATGTTCATGTTGGATGTTGTGGTCCTTGGAAGGACTACAAAGTGCTACCAGGTGTAACGGGGCACACCCTTGCGTGAACTTAACGCAAGGGTTTCGGGTGCCCCGACAGACGTACACGAGGCGAACGAGGAAGCGTAGGATAAGGTAAAAGTAAAACTGTTATATTAATATAATTAAGTCTTTTTGCTACTGTCTCTCTGTTTGACTTAACTTAATTATGCTAATATAACTGAGTGTATGGTGACGTCTCGTCACCACTCATTGCGCGCGTCTTGCGGCGATTGGTGGGTTGATATCATCAAGATATCAACCAATGAACAGACTCTTTGGTCGACCCTTCAATATCACCACTATCGGTGATATTGTTCAAAGAATATTCAACTTAATATTCTTTATTGTCACTTTCTTTAAAGTGACACTTCCATGTAACGGGCTGCCCCGTTACACTGAGCACGTGTCACGTACCGCTTCAGCGATGGCGAAGACAGACGCAGACTGCACTTGATACAGCAGCCGGTCGCGGCGCTTCAGCTCTGTCTCACGGATATCAGCCAATGACATGTGCTCGTCAGGTCTCATGTGTTGACGTTCAACGCGCCAATGAGCAGATGGTATCCGTGCGACAGGGGTCGGTCCAGTCGTGGGAAAGGGGGGGCGGATAGACAATCCGACTGCGCCTGCGGTGAACCCGCGTAGCAAAAGGCCGTTCACTTGTCGATGTTCTGACTGGTGGATTTGTGACGGGCGACTGTTGCGTTCCAATGGCGATGCGACACGTGATCCATCGCGTAAAAAGCGACATAAAAGAAGAGCCACTCCCAATCAATCACTCTATCAGCGCCCCGTCACATGCACAGACCCGTGTGCCCACTGTGGCCCGTCGCTTCTCGTTCTCTCTTTCGCGCCACATCCGCACCTGCTCAGACGCAGACGATGACAAAGATTCAGTTGGATCGACAATGGTTCGCCTTTCTTGCCGTCGACACGCACGCAAGTCTGCCTTTTGCATCAACGATTAGTCGCGAGCACTTGGCGCTCGAGGCGCAAGGGCTGACGCGTCGTTCAACTGCTACCTCGACGTTTCGCTTCCGTTGTTGCTGACGATTCAGCTTGTGGCTCGATAGAGTATCTCGCAGTCGCAACAACTGCGTGTCGAATAAAGTCCATCTGCGCCTCTTATGAAGATGCCTCCCATCGCAGTTGTCTTCAAACGATACTGTTGTGTGCCGAATACATATTCTGACGCTGTGCAATTCGTCACCGTTTGGCTTCTCAACGCTGTTTTTTTTCGTCTTTGTGGGCATAGCGGTTGTGTTTGTCGACACTTGGTTCGTTCACGTATGCTGGACGGGCGCCAGGCTTCCCGGATGCGCAGGGCCTGGCTGACAAAGTGGTGTCCATAAGTGAGACTCTGTATGAACAAGCGAGAAGAAGGCTCGCGCGCCCTTGGCCGGTTTGTCCACGTCGCTTGTCGATTCTAAAAGGACCGGCTCTTCATATGACCGACCAGACAAGTACTGCTGCGCGTCCACCACCTGTATTCTTATCCTTTGGCCAAAGAAACGACGCGGTGCGCGAGTCCGTGCAAGGTCGCGGTGACGCCCGACTGTACGCACGCGACAAGTGGCGACAATCGGGTCCGCCGTGATATAAGTAGTGCTATGCGTTGTGCAGCTGCCGCAGGAACTCGTCGCATCGGCTCCTCACTTTCCATTTTTTGACCAGCAAGAAGGGAAAGCACATCATGCGCAGACTATGCATTGTGGCTGCTGGTTTCGGCGGCCTCCTCGCGGAATCCGCCGCCGGGCCACTAGCCGACGGTCACCAAACGAGTTCGAGTGCTGCTGAGCTACATCGGCTGCGCCATGACAAGGCTAAGTCCGACCAGCGCAGACTCGTGCAGCCACACGGCTCAGTGGAACACATGACAGCGTCCGAGGCTCCGAGGCTCTCGACATCATACGAGACCGACCGCATGCTCCACAAGAGCGAGGATCGTGGTGTGACGGCCGAACCGATTCGGAGTTTCGGGGCGATCATGGCGGACTTTTTGAACCGCGGACTCCACCCAAATAAAATGTTTGAGGGGCTCTCTCTCCACGAAAAAGTCGCCCGCCCTGGTGAAATTGCCATGGACCCTGATGCCGTGATCATGTGGCTGGAGTATGCCAAAAAGCATCCTAATATGACCATCATGAAGGCGCTGGAGATGCTTACGAGCAAGAGCAAGAGCGAGATCGAGAGCAAGGACGACTACCGAAATAACCGCCTTTTGTTGGACGAACTGCTGGTGCACTATAAGGTCAAGAACGAAAACCCCATCATTAACGAGGCACTGAAATTGCTGATCAGTGAAATGGCACCACACGAGTCGAGCTTGGCAATAAAAGAGTTGGAGAAGATGGAAGTGAGTTCTCGCGATCTTTTTGATCTCCTCGGCCTTAAAGCCAAAGACGCGCTTGCTAAGTCACCAGAAGCAGCAATATTTTGGCTCAAGTATATTGTGCACGCGGCGTGGGTAAAAACTTACCCACCCCAATGGGATGCTAGGCTCAACCCAGACCACTTGTTCCCTATGGAAGCGGTGAGACTTTTGGTTAAGGGCAGAAGTCCGGGCGATGTTCAAAAACTTATCGGTGAGATTAAGAGTAGCTCAAGGTTAGAGCTTGTCGAAATCCTCTACTACCTAGAGAATCCAGCAACAGTAGAGGCGGTGTTGCGATCTGCGAAACAAAAGAAGGGACCGAAAAAAAAAGCTAAGAAACGTGGGAAAAAGTGACTGAGTTCGTCACTGTTGCAAGGTAACGAGTGACGAAGCCATTTGTTGCGTTGTTGCGGTTTATAGTAGGCTTAGAGTAGCTTGGCATTACGCGAACTTAGGACCTTCAATACATCCCTTTGCTTTTTGTCACCATCTTATCACTCTAGCGTCAAATGAACAGGTCATGATAAGTTCGACTTTCGATAGTACCAGCCGCACTTGTAGTCGACTTCGGAATCCGAGTGACTGCGTGCGCACACGATCAGTCATTGTTGTCGAAAGCTCTTTCGTGTAGATTGTACATATCATCCATCTGGACGACATATTGAGGCTGACGAAAATGAAGGCCGTGCAGATCAAGCCGACCTATACAAACTTGTATGAAAGCTGCTCCAACATCTTCCACCACATTAGCAGACATGGCGTCAAGGCGTCGCTATCAAGTACAATCAGTTGACACACTTGACAATTGTCCGTCCTACTGCACTTTGGTGGCAAACGTTGAGCGTTGAGCGATGCGCAAGCCCTCCTTGTTCAGTCGATGAGATCTGGCAAGGCAATCGCACACGTTGGCAGTCCCAATTTCCTCACGACTAGCAGCTTCTGCGCCCAAAGAACGAACGGCCGTCTCTCTCGATACCGCCACGACGGCCTTTGTCCACCTACATCACGCACAAAATGTGGAACAATGTTTCTTCCTCATCTCAATCCAGTCCGGCATTCGACCGCCTTGTTAGTAATTGGCACAGAAGCGTTCATCCACTGCCAGTCAGCAACAAACAACCCACTCAATTCTCTCCTCGTCGGCAACCAACTTGCTTTGCACTGCTACCACGTCACTAGCTGCGGCTTCAGCACTTTCTTCACAAGACAATACATGCTTGGATCCGTGGTTGCATGGCTTCGGAAAAGGCGGCCTGATACAATAAACTTTTTCGACTAGGCACCGTGCTTTCGAGCAGATATCTGAACTGCCGCGACATGTGCAACAACAAAGTAGCAGGAATCGGAGTACTCCATGATCATGACAACACACACGTCGTTCCAGATGCAAAAGCGTGAGTTAGCGCACAAAAGCCTTTGTTGCGTTCATGGATACGACATGGAGTTCAACAGAAGTATAGCTGGGAAGTCGGCGTCTGCTGATGTCGTGTGTTCAACTACATCGATCAGCTTTGTTGTAAGCCAACACGGCAATTCCATCTAGTTGGTCGAGCGAACTCTTCAACGTTTGCCACGTTTTTGAGCGACTGCCGCTTTCATGAACCCGGTTCGCCTTAAACGCTTCGTCGCATGTACCGAACGGTCGAACTCTGTGTCATCTCTTGTTCGGCTCCACAACGGGAGAATCTCTTCCGCTACAATCCACACAAGCAAAACACTCTCCTCCTTCGCATGTGCGATAGGTCCAGCACCTCCAGACATGACAGTGACAAACCGCTGCTCGTCGCATAGCCCGGACAGCATCCGAGCTTCATTGTATCCTCGTCGCAGCTTCAGCAACTTCATCATCATGATAGTATCCAAGATTGTGAGCTCAAGCGTAACTTGTACCTTCGATCCATCTTGCACAACCTCTCGGCAACACCAGGTAGTACTTAATCGACTCATTCTCTTGACCGCAGCAGAGAAGTACCGCACGGACATCCTCGTGTTCCTATTTCTCCATCAAGTGCAGCTGCGTAAGCCACTCGTACGTATCACCACTCGCAGGTGTCAAAACAGTCTGTTTAACTCATGACGCGCAATGCCGCCTTTGCGTTCGGACATCCGTGTCCATGTGCCTACTCCTAGTCTGCTTCTCTCGAGTTTCAGAAGTCGGTCGTTCTCGTATGTGCAGTCGCATGAGCGGTTGCCGCACCATCGCTCAACTTCTGCTGGCAACGTACCCACGTACCGCCGACTATCCACAGATGCCTGTCACCGTCAGCATGAACGCGAAGCGAATGCAGCAATACACGGAGCGAGCTTCCACAGTCGCAATTCGGACTGCGCTTGGATACCTGTCAGAGGTCGCACATTTAGTCAAGAATGAAGTGGAACATCGACATCATCCGCATCAAATCGAGCGCTACCAACAAGTAAAAGCGGTCAAATGAGCTCGGTGTCGGCCGACGATAAGCTCTTCACGAACGATCGACGGAGGTCAAATACGAAGGTACAGTGCACCACTCCAAAGCTGTACGACATCAGCACATACAGCATCAAGTTCAGCAGCGCTTTCAGCGTCTTTCCGTCGTCATCCTCTTCATCGCCGAGATGTGTAGCTGTGGATCCGCTTCGCTGTCACTTCTGCTTCTCCCGCCAAAACACCCACTAGTCTGCACGCAGACGCTCCGGTTCGGGACAAAAAAGCCTCCCACTTCGATGCCGACGCTATGATACATAGCTGCCACCAAAGCACCACAACTTTCGCAAATGGTGCAATCACATGCCGCGAGTGACGCGTCGTCTCAATCAGCTTCTCCATCAAACTTTCGCTCACGAGTGATCGACAATTGGTGGATCTTCTCGATATCTGAGACGACAGGCCAGAACATCGTAAGAGTGACGAGTGGTGACGTCAAGCGCATACGCGACATGGTCACAGGTGACGAACTTCGTCTCGGAATCAACATATGGCTGAGCTGGTAGCTATTCAACGCCTCAGCTCACGCATAGCTTGCTCGTGTATCTACAAGGGTGTGGCTTGTTCAGTCGCTGCTGCAGCGACAGCAACGTCGACATCATCCTCCTTGTCTTCTTCCCGATCTGCCACTCTCCAATCGTCGTCGCTGAATTTGGTACAACACTGGCATTATGCAGCAAAAGCTGTGAGCTTCTGACTCTCCGCTTGATCATGTCGACAGTGCAAATATGGACTGGAAAGCACTGGCGGATGTGCAGGAAGTAGGCTTGATGATGGGGAAAGAAGCCGCAGTGCCAAACATAATTCAAGATACCCGAACGTGTCCGAGACATGGTGGACGTCCGCGTCATTCGAGCTGCTGCCTGAGTGGAAGTACTTCGATACCACGACAGCCGCTAGCGTCGAACGGGTCATGGACTGACTGCGCATAGCCCTCGAGAATATGCTGAGTAAACATCGAGCTCAGTGACGCTCGACCTTCAGGCAAAATGCAAACTAGAGAGCCAAGACATTCGAAGTTGTACAGTTTGCAAATTTGCCAATGTGCTCGATAAGCCACACGCGTGCATGGTACCGTATCACTCTCTTCCACCTCTCTCCTTGCATACTTTTTCCCACCACCTCTTCTTCGTCCGCATCAAAATCCATTTCGGCCCCGCCTCACCTCCACCATCGTCTCTTTCGCATCACTCACAATCTCTGCCTCATCCTCCTATCGTTTTTCTCTTCATCATGGTCAGATGTAGAACAATCGACCTCTTCTTTTACCCTCTTCAAACCTTTGTCAGGTTTAGCTACTCATTGAGGAATGTGTCATACTAGCGTCGGCATCAAAAGTCGAATGGCAAGGTCCAACGATACTTCCCACCGTATAGTCGCGCGGAGTACAACGAACCCACGCCTGAGGACACAGAAGAGCAGCAGTGTGTCGCGCCATGCGCCCACCTCGAACGTCTCGCCGTCAGGGTTCTCATCAATACCATACCCGAACCTTGGAAGTGCATCGAGTGTACATGGTACATACAACACATCGAGCGGCATTGACTTGACTTCGCGGAAGCATCATCCAGACCACAAGACCATACTGCTAAGTTTCTGTGTCGTCGACTGAAAGCTCTCATTCTTGCAGACGAGCATAGAGCGATAAGCATACGCCATACCGAGTGTCTCGTGGTTCACGCCGTACGTCGTCGTTTTTACCAAGCTTGTACATTTCATGCAATCCTTGGTCCGCACAATCTCGTGCTCGAGATGTTGCCACGCTCACTTTTTCATTTCTCGTTCGGTAGAGTTTAACACGCGAAAGCGCCTCAGGTAGCTCACGTCTCCGGTCATCACAATGCTTTGTCTCAATTACACAGTCGGACTCGCCTCGAATAGTCCGTGCGAATATATGTGCCCCCACTTAGTCGCCCTGACACGACCACGCTCGAACAACACACCGCTGTCGCACTTGTTGCTCGAGTCCTTGGTCCAGCAAATGAAATCGCTGTTCGAGAGCACATGGTGCGTGCGCAGCTACTCTAGCTCGACCTCAAGCGCTTCTCGGTCTTGGCGCGAACCAACGTGAAACCGTGATCCTATAGCGTACATACCCAAAGCGAGTACGATTGCGGTTCACACAACCAGTAAGCTCGCGCGGCACTTTGCAAGCGTCTCAGCCGCATCCTTGACTCACTTTGGCGTGCAGAACGCCATCACATCGACAATACGCAAGAGCACGTCGACATTTTGTTACAGATCACGCCCACTCACCGCTCACAGTCATCTTACAATCGACCAGCTGGTCCGCTTTCGAAGAATGGCAACAACCGTCGACAGCTCGCAAAGACATCCACATCGGGTAGCACGGCACGACGAAAGCAAGCTGAAAACTGCGCCGCAAGCGTGCATCGCCGTATACTACCCCAACGTCCTTCACCCACCTGATGGCGACTCTATCCTTCCAGTCAAATCTTGTGGTAAGCGCTTATCTGGACGTACAAGTGAAACGAGACGTCGCGCTATATCCAACACCTGCTGGTGGATCCCTATTGAGCTCGCAGGATTCAAAGCGTTCGTCACGCTGCGCATCACATCGTCGCGAGCAGCCAACGGGTCCATCAACAATAGTTTCGTGCTCTGAACAATAAGCTTTGGGTTCCATTTGCAACTTCCTCGCAACGGTCGGCCCGGCAAGTCGGACCGACTTGTTGTTGCCGTTGGCACGTGAGATCGAGAGGCGGCTCCTTATCGAGTCCTGCTCTGCAGTCGACACACGAACACGGACAGTACACGGATCATGATCGAGAACGCCACCTCTGCTGCTACAGACGCGTCCACTCTCGCAGGTCACGGTGCCTCTCCTAATCGATGTCACTCCACTGGACGTCACGAGCTGTGTGCCATC